ATGTGTTGCCAGATTGGAAAAACTAACTACGTCACGAATCTTTTATTTTCACGTAGGGGCGGGGGGCATAAGAGGAAATTTAAAAAATAAAATTCCAGGCTAAAGCGATTTTTACAAAGCAACTGATTACACTAAATAGTACGATACGTCGAGTATATCACTACGTAGTAGTTAAAAATCACTTGTATACTACCCCATTGCTGTGATTTATGTGTGCCAACTAGACTATTAGTTTATTTTTGTATTATTTATTTATGTTCTGTTTCATCTATTTGTTGTTATCATTTTAGTTTAAGCAGCACCCTTGCATGTAATGTCCTAGAAGTGTTTGTAAGGTGTATTTAAAAAAATTAAAATAAAATAACTGATTCATGGAGATCTACAAATATAATAAATAGAATTTAAGCTGATTTTATAATGATTTCAGGTGAGAAGGAGATTTGTTGTGATTTTTCGTGGGATTTATGAAGTAAACTGGATAATGGTCTACAGTTTCTCACTGTTTGCTTGTAAATATATCTCATGTTTTACTTTGGGACTTTGTTGTCAACTCTGTTGTATTTTGTCACGGAAATTTAACGATTTTCCGAGGGATTTTCAAATGAACTTAAAGTCCGTCGATTTTAATCTGATACTCGAAAAAAATGTGAGCTGGTGGCACCCTACATTAGAACGCCAATGGTCACCTGATATCATGTTTTTGCCATATATTTCACCCCCTCGCTCCTCATACGGAAAGTGTCAGTTTAAAAACGACGGACAATACATTGATTTACAGGTGATTGAATGATAGAATTTCTAGGGATTGGAGACCAAAACAATTTTTAAACCTTATGGAATTTCAAAAGATTCCTATTGAGATTCCAAAGACTTAATAGGATTTCCAAGGACTGAAAGAGGTTTTAGCAACTTCCAATGGATTTTTAGTGACTACAAGAAATTTTTTTAAATGACATCAAGTTGGCCTCAATTTCAAGCTACAAATTAGGGACGCATGCCATACGCATCAAAACGATTTTTTACTTTTTTAAAATAACCTTTACTGGAACTGTAATATATTAGGGCGGCTCACTCACCACAATTTGTACCGTGCGTTCAATTTATCTCGATAATATTTCAATTTGCTGTAACTTTTTTGTTTTTGAAGGTATCAAGGTAAACAAAAAAACAAAATGTAGGGTTATTAGTCAAGTTTTTTCTCAAGTTACCTTTAAAACAAAGCACTATCAATTTTCTGACATATGAGCCTACATTATATTTTTTCAAATGGAACACCCTGTATATTATATATGTGTTTGATAAAATATCTTATTCCGATTACAATGATATAACATACTTCATATTTTAGTCCACTCGTTTTTGACAAATCGAAAAAAATATATGAAACTTATTAGGCGGTGATCTGATATTTGGGGCGAAAACTATTGAAAGTGTATATAAAAACTTCATATTTTTGCCGATTTGTCAAGAACGAGTGGACTAAAATATGAAGTGTGTTATATCATTGTAATCGGAATAAGATATTCTATCAAACACTTATATAATATACAGGGTGTTCCATTTGAAAAAATATAATGTAGGCTCATAAGTCAGAAAATTGATAGTGTTTTGTTTTATAGGTACCTTGAAAAAAAACTTGGCTACTAACCCTACATTTTGTTTTTTTGTTTACCTTGATATCTTCAAAAACAAAAAAGTTACAGCGGATTAAAATGTTATCAAGATAAATTGAACGCACGGTACATCGATTTCGAAAATCGCGTAGGATTTCGACAATTTTTAAGGGATTTCGAAAGATTTCGGATAGTATTTCGCGATTTCGAGTGGATTTCGGGATTTCCAAAGGATTTCACTGAAAATGTACAGCGATTTCGGGAGTGAGCCGCCCCTCGGATATAACTACTGCAATAAAATGATGTAAAATCTAAATTTTTCCATAAAAAAGACTCGTAAGGCTTTTCTAATTATTTTTTCAGGATCTCTGCCATGTTTCAATAGGGAATCAACAGCGTGTTCTAAAATACCTTCTGGTTGAAAATTTCATAAAACCAAATAAAATTATACTTTGCTTTTATTTATTTTTTCCAGATTTTGGTTAGGGTACCTATTATCTTTTAGCATGAGTTTTGTAGAATAATCCCTTGAATTAGTTTTGCTATTGATATCGATAGAGGGTTGAAAATAATATAAAACTCAACAATAGTAAGGGTATGCTCCGGTTTCCAACAAATTTTCCAGTAATTAGACTGGCCTATAGATAATATATTGTGTCTTTAGTGTGGGCCAATTTGGATCCCCCTAATAGGAAACAGTATGTAATTATTTCTGGACAAAAAATTAACATCCAACTTTAAGGCTCATATTTTATTTCAGACAATAGCAAATACTTGAATAAAAGCCTCGAGACAAGCTAAACTTTCGTACTTATTAGCCAAAAACTTTAGAAACTACCATTTTTTCCTGAGGGATAATCTCTTGCAGAAAATTTGTATGCAAGAATCCCATTTTTTATTGAAATAATATGTGAATTTATCAAGGATATAGACTTTTTATAAAATTAGGTATCTAGGACAAAGAATCTTCAGAAATGTTTTTAAAATTGATTTTTTTCAAAGATTCACTTTTTCCAGGCTTCTAACTAAAAAATGGGAAGAGTCTATCTCTACTTCATAGATATTATCAGTTTGTTTAATCTGGACTTTGGCAGCTCTGGTTTTTGAAATGCCAGCTTTAGGTACTTTTTGAGCTTCTAGCACCTGTTCTAATCTACATCACGATCCTTGGCAGGTTTCAAATTTACTCTAGCTATGTTAGTATTATCCTCGGTATTATCATTAATTTTTTTTTCTTAGCATTAAGTAGTCCAGTTTTCAAACCTTTTTTAATTATGCTCAGATTTTGATTTACTTTCAGTAGTTTCATGTAATATTTATTGTCAATCTTAATCTTATTACTTTTATGTATTTCACAGAATTTTCGGAATTTTGCAAGATTTTTAATGGGCTTAAGGCCATTTTAAGGAATTTCAACAGGTTTTTATTGAATTTAAAGATATTTTCATGGATTTTGTAATATTTTTCCATGAATTTTGGTTGGAAGATTTGAGAACTTTAAGAATTTGATGCTGTTTTAACAAATTTTTGGGTAATTCGACAGACTTTTACATATTGTATTTTATTTTTGAAGATTACGAAAATATCTCATCAATTTGACTGCCTGTACAAATCTTCAAATCTATCTCTGACATTCCAGAATAATGATCAATGGTTCTAGTTTTTCAAAAAAAATTATACATAGTGCTATAATTATATATTTTTAGGATTTTGGAATTTAAGGAGATGCAAGACACCTAATGTTGTTGACTGAGTATAGGAATGGTAAAATTTGGGCCCATTGTTGTTTTTAATGTTTATTAACGATATTGTAAGTGTTGTTAAAGATTCAGAATGTCTGTTATTTGCAGATGATTTCAAGATTTTTAAGTGTGTTACAAATGATAACGATTATGTTGCACTTCAGGATGACCTGAACTTAGTTTCTGATTGGTTCAGAAGAAATAAAGTGATGGTTAACGCTAAAAAAGTTTTGCTATATCATTCACACACAAAACTAATCCTATATTGTTTTCATATTCAATTGATGATAATGAACTTAAAAAAAAAAACCTAGTGCAATCTTGGGGTGTGCTTTAAGACTAATTTAAAATTTAATCAACATTATGAGTACGTTATTAACAAAGCATATAAATCTCTTCGATTCATTATGCGTAATACAAGGCGATTTAATGATATGGGTGTAGTAATTAAGCTTTATAATGCTCATGTTCGTTCACACTTAGAATATGCTTCTGTTGTATGGTCTCCACAGGTAAAAACACACTGTAATGCCATTGAACGTGTTCAAAAAAGATTTCCAAGGGTTTTTGTATGTTAGAAAAAATAATATATATCCGTATCTAGTCTCATATAGAAGCATATTGGATGACTTAAGTTCCAGACATTTGAAACAAGAAGGCAGATACAGTATGTGCTGTTTATTTATTAGGTTATCAGTGATATAAAGTACAATAAATGTTCCTTAATCAACTATATTCCTATACGTGTACCTAAAATTAACTCAAGGGTTAAAATAGATAAAAAAAAATTATGTACCAGGTGGGTAGCAGTTCTTCCCTCAATTGTATGTTGGTTAAATGTAATGACTTGTTTTTCCAAGATGTTAATCTAGATTATCTTATAAATATCGACATGAAATAATTCAAAAGTTAAGTAGTACCTAGCAGTGCTATCTTCTATGTTGATTTTATTGGTGTATTGTCCATTATGGCGTTTGTATGAGTATCAATAAATAAATAAAATATTGAAAAAGATTTTAAAGAAACCTTCACAATTTAGAACAAGAGAAATTGTGCCTTACACCAAAAAATCCTCATCAATTCTATATGAGAAACAGGCTCCTCAAATGTTTCCATTTCTTACTTTTGGAACGGAACACCTTTCAGAATCATTATTATAAAAATAAACTAGAAAATCTTCATAATTTAAACACTTAAAACTGAGTTTAACTGTCCCAAAACAGAATACCAACAAATATGCAAGAGAGTATTCTCATTCCCATCTGTTCAGATTATCAAATGGTCAATATTTGGAATATTTATCGTCAATCTGATCTTTTTTTAGTTTTGTGTCAACTTTTAGGCATGCATTTATTTTAGGCTAATAAAACACTAAAGTTTATTTTTAATTTTAATAGTGCACAGAAGCAAGAAGTAAAATTAACTGGATGTTTCCAAATCAACTGCAATAAAAATATAAAATTGAAATGTACTTAGGCGAACATTTCCTCTGTTATTGGTTCTCACTAGGGTATATAAAATATAGTTGTTCAACTAGTAAAAACAACAAACTCGTATCTGAGATTGTCTGATCATGCACAGTTGCTTCCATTTGCTATGAGAACGTCTTCCACTCCTCCATGTTCACAAATTTCCGTTTTTACAGGTAAAAAATAATTTTCCTGGATGGCTCACTCTACTGATCCATGTGTGAGCGCGCCCGCTCGGGGCCCTCGGGATTTCCGGCGCGACAAGGCGCGCCTGCTCGTCTTGTAAATGGCTCCTGACGGTGGTCAGACGGGAGAAGAAGTCTCCACCGTCATCACCTGCGAGGGGACGCTTGGTCACCCCGAGTTTCCTCTGCAATTTCAAAAAGTAGTTGATAGGTAAGGTAAATTGAAGCGAAAACACACCGAGGCAAAATAACACGATCGAAATTCCATTGCAGGTTGAATGGTATATTAGGGGTTCCGGTGAAAGTCCGCAAGCTGGAGCCGTGGAACTCGGTGCGCGTGACGCTGTCGGTGCCGCGCGAGGCGGCCCTACGCCTCAGACAGCTCGCGCAGCAAGGAGCGCCTCAATTGCGCGCCCTCGGTATACTCAGCGTACAATTGGACGGCGAGGGCGCCATCTCGTTGCGTATACAAGGTGCCAATGGCGAACCTCAGGAGGTGATTCTGAGAACCACTCAAGGTAAATATAATGATATTATTCACATACATTTAACACATTATTATAATTTTGCAGATGGACCTAGTAGTAGTTCAAGCTCTGTCCCCCTGGGTCTGGGGGCGTTGCTATCAAATGCGAGCGGAGCGCCTGGCAGCTCTGCAACCAATTCCCAAGTGCAATTTAAGTCGCCCAATGTGGTGTGTCCACCCGATACCGTCGTGCCACGAGTTGGTACCAATATGGGACCACCTCAAAGCACCATCACTTCCAATTCTCACAACAAACCCCCTTATGCTGGACCTTTTCCTTTTGCCAGCATGAATCAGGCGATCCATAGGTAAGAATTTAATTTCAACTAAGATTTTTCCTAATGTAACGATTTCTAGTCAAAACAGCACCAATTCTAATGGACCGTCAAGTGCTCCAAGGAGTACAAACATGGAACCACCCCAATCTCAGTTTTTACCACCACCTTATCCTGGTAGCAGGCAATCACCTAATACTCCACAGGTAAAACAACTTTTTCTATTAAATAATTGTAATCTAACAACAAATATCTTATTATCAGTCTCCAAGTCAACCTGCAGTCACAATTTCAAGTCCTTTGCTTGTAAATTTACTGCAAAATGATCACCAAGTTAGTACCAGTTCAATGACCAATAATAAAGTACTTGAATTGCCACCACCTGCATCCCCATCTGTTGTAAGACAGATGAGGCCTCCACCACCACCTTCACCTGCTGCTAAAGTTCAAGGTAAGGACTAACCCAAATAAGAAAAAATAGTTTTATAAAATTTAATATCTTTATAGGTGTATTAGCTGGTTCTTCACCAATAATTACTTTACCCAGTACAACGGTGCCTTCTCCTACACAGCCTCATCAGATCAAATCTGTATCAGCAACTTTACCCATGGGGTTATCCAATCACATTCATTCTCAGGCCAACGTGCTAGTGAACTCGAGTAACAATAATAGTAATAATAATATTAGCAGTAATTCATCGGTATCACCGCCAAGCGCCTTAACGACTTCAGTAGCTTCGAATAGCAATTCCAGCCCATTGTCGGCTACAAACAGTTCAGTAGTGACCAGTACCCAATTAGCCATAAACAGTATAGCCAACTCATTGGCTAGTGCCGCAAATAATATCACTAATAATAGTTCTCAAGGAATTTTCGGATTACATAAAGGGGTGTTCGGACAGCCGCACACAAGTTTGCATTATCAGAGGACACCACAGGGCAGTATTATTGCGGTTAATAAGCCCTTACCTCCCAGCCAAACTATGAATGTCCCAGTTCAAAATAGCATTCCTCTGCATCAAAATCAACGCCCGAATTTGTCGTTGGCACCCGTGTTGCGTCACCAGCAACAACAAATCGCCAGCATTCCTCCAAAAACTGGACCCGTATTCGCGCAGCAAAGCAATGTCGTCGTAGCCCACCATAATAATTTGTTGCATCACAGCCAAGCAAAAATGCAACAAAATTTATTGGTCGGAGGTAGTATGTTGTGTAACAGTGCTGTAGTACCTGGCAGTAATGTTTCTTTGCCTGGAAACAATCACATTTTGTCACTTGGTAATAGGGGTAGACCACAAACACCACTTAGTAATATGAATGTTGGAATAATGACATCAAATCAGCATAGTAATTCTGGTTTGGTTTTGAACCATGACACTCTCACTACTCAGGTAACTATATTGATAATAGGTTTGTTACAGCCTGTTAAAATAATCTTTTAGGTGGCTCAGCAGGCCTCTGTGACAACAAATATAATTAAAAAACCTTTGCCTTCTCCGCCGCCTTACAATGTTGCCATTTCTCGTAATTGGGATTCTATAATGGGCAATCATACCAACCTATTAGATTTGGCGCCGTCGCTCACAGATTTAAAACCTGACGAGTTAGATGAGCTATTGCCTACTTTGGATCACGACGCCCTACCAGAATTGTCTGAATTGGAATTATTGGGCAGTGCGCTGAGCGGTAACCCTGATGTTCCTTCTAGTTTGTGTGAGGGTAGTTCCAGTAGCAATAGTAATGCAGTGGCTGTTGAGTGTTTGAATGAAAATAGTACAAACAGTGGAGATGGGAGAAAATTTCTCATTAATCCTTTGACTGGTGAGCTGGAACCTCATAGTGGTGAAGAAGAAAGTGATAATGAAGAGGTAAAGGTAAAAGTGTTTTTTTTTTACAAAGCCTAAGTAGCTAAAACTGTTGTGATATTTAATATGATTTTTTTTAGGATGTCTTCACGGGTCTTCCCTCTCCACTTGGTTTGTCAGATGATGACACCAATTCTACTTCAAGAGCTGATACCAACACAGATCAAAGTGACAGTGAAACAAGGTCAAGCACTGAAGGCAAATATTCTAGAAGTAAAAATTCAAAAAATAGAAGAGAGAGCAAAGAGTTAACTGGAAAGGTATATAATTTGTTTGAGGAAAAACTTGTTTTTTTTATATATAAAATTTTTGCAGCCACCCGAAAAAATCAAACTCCGTCTCAAACTGGAAAAGAACGAACCAATTAATTCAGCCTACAAGGTAGATGTGAGCTTTATCAACACACAACAACCAAAAAAAGCTGCTGCATCTCTTATTGCCACTGGAAATGTGCCACCGATAGGCATTGAAGAGCTTCGAGTACCTCCATTGCATATTTCCCTAAGAGGACGAAATTCTGCAGTGATTAAAAACAAAACCAAACTTAATCCAGATGGTACACCTGTGGTGAAAAAAGCCAGAAAGCTACAGAACAAAGTTAAGAAAGATGGTTTTAGTGAGGAAGAGGAAAGCAAAGAATTGGGAGAGATGAGTGAACATAAGAAAGCTAAAAAATTTAAAGCCAATCATGAGCATAAGGTAAGGATTATATTGTTTGTTGCTAAAAAAATTAGACTTACTTATTATTTTTTTCTTCTAGGACCTACTTGCAGCTCTTAGTGATCACCCAGGTTCACCGACTAACAATACAATTTCTAAATACTCATTGCACAATCACTACAAAGAGAAACAGAAAGAACGACGCGGTTCTGATTCCGAATTGGTCAGAGCCAACAGCAAAAAGCACGACTTAAACGGAGCATTAGCTGCTGAGGAAAAAAGACGTCGACTAAGTCAATCTGAAGGCGACAAGAGATTGGAGGATGACATGGTACCCTCGGTGCTAGGTTCAACTAACGTTGGGACTGTCGGGGTATTGCCTCAAAAAATCCGGAAGGAAAAGGTAAAATTTTGTTTATTCCAGGGTCAAAATTTCTCAAATAAAAACAAAAAATATTCAAGTACATTGTGTCATTTTTAATTTTAACAATAATAATTCCTATATAAAATTGTGTTTTATTTCAGATTAAATTAAAAGATAGCTTTAAAATCAAAGACAGTAACAGGAAATTATACTCAACATCCAAACCAGGTCTCAACAACTTGTCTATGCCGCCATCTCCGTCAGATAAAAAGCAGCAGCAAAGTGCTACAATAGCCTTACCGACTGCCATCGACATGGATATGGAAGCAAAATTTAAACAAAGCCTTATGGAAGGTGTCCTAGCTGAAAAAGGCATACCACGCCCCCCTCATCGGACTGTTGAAGTTGTCGGCCATGTGCAGACTGATGGAGCAAGAATAGGAAGTGTTGGCGAGAAGGTTTGTACTTGTGCTCAAATTGATTGAGCAAATTTATTAATTAATTTTTTATAGGTACCTAAAAGTCCAGATCCCATTCAGACCAGCATGAAAGTGAAAGAAAAATCGCCAGAGCCGGACAAGTGCAATGTACCCAATAGCGAAAGAAAATCAATTGATTCTCTGCAAGATAAGCAACTCAATGCTGTAGTCACGTCAGGGGGAAGATCTCCAAACTCAGGAAGTAGCGGGGGACAAGGTGAAGACAGCGGAATCGAGAGTATGGATGCTTTAAGCGAAAAGAGTCCCAATCAGGTAGGAAATGGGGCTCGAAAGATAATTTTTTCTGTGAGTTGTGAAATTTTGTTTCATTTGGTTGAAAGGATATTTTCATAGATTCTATCAATTACAAGTAAAACTAATAAAATTTTTAATTTAAGGCGAGTCAAAGTCCTCACGCTGACATCCTGCCCAACGTCGTCGTTCCCACATCTAAGTCCCAAGTGCCTGACATGTTGGACATTGAGGCCCAGCTTGCCAAAATGGAGGGCCTAGAACCGCACCATCAAGAAGAACTGTCTTTGCCAAAAAACATAGTGACCAACAATGTTACAAATCAATCTGAAAGTGGTGAGGCAAAATCTCCCAATCGGACTACAGAGGATGTAAATGAGAATGAGTGCATTCACAGGAGTGATTCCAAACCGTGCTGCGAGTTGACATGTACGCTTCAGGACGGATTGGATAAAAATGTTCTCAATAATTCTACAGGCAAAGATGACATGGAACCTCTCAAGGTAAGCAATTTTGAATAAGTGCTTGTTTTTACTCATGTATTGTTTATTATTAGGCTGTCATAAGTGAGGACCAACAGCCACCCCACTCACCTCCAGCCCTTCGTGTGGCTCCAGCTCTCTACTCGTATCCTTCCATTAGTAAGGATGGGAATTCGAGGGGGGGTAGCGAAAGTCCCATGCTTACCACCGAAGATGAGGACAGTAATCTGGTCCCTATGACTGGGGCTCAGGCGCATTCGCAGCAACCCAACAACAAAAGCAAAAGCTTGCTGGAGCAGCTTTTAATTGAGATTCCTAGCGAACACAGCAATGCTGTTGCTCCTAGTGCACATAGCCCAGCAACTAGGTAAGAATGCTTGCAAAAAATTTCCATTATATTTTTTTAATGCAGACAATTAGTGGCAACACTGTCAAATTGCCACTTTTTTTTATTTATTTTCTCAAAGAAGACTGCAGAAATTTTCTATTTTTAGTTGGTTTATCCAATCTCAAAAATTAGTGAAAGAGCCCTTTGAATTAAATCTGAAATATTATCCTTTCACAGGTCATCAGTTCGAACGAGAGCACTCAGTAAACTAGGCAGTCCTGAGCTTAGTTCTCCGGTCCCGAAAACGGCAAAAACAGCGCCTCTCCCCAATGCAACCGCGAAGAGAAAAAGAAACGAAAGCGACAGCTCAAATCAAAGTGTTGACGACACAAGAAAAAGGCCCAGAAAGGGTTCAGGTAAGGGTAAGCAAACATACATTATCTCCTGAACAATTTCTAATTTTAAAATTCAAAATAGAAGCTTCTGAAGTCGCAAAAAGAACAAGCCAAGCAACAGCAGTAAAGAAAAGTAGTAAAATCGGGATGGTTCAAAATCAGCAATTGGAAGACAGTTCGGACAGCGACGAACCTCTGATAGAAAAAGTTAGAAAAACTGCTCCCAAAAGCAATTTGAAACCCGTTAAAGGAGTACTCGGCCTGCAAACGACCATACCTAGTCAGATAAATAATAAAACAAATACAAGAAGGTAATAACAATTATTTGTGTTATTATTTGCAAAACAATCATATTTGACTTTAATTTCATTTCAGGTCGGCAAGGGCAGGTCAACAGCAAGATAAACAGCAGCAAGATACAAAACAGCAACCGGCTCAGAATACTCGAAGTCGGGAGAAGGTGGTGCAACAGCAGCTCAGTCATCATACTACGCCTCAGCAGCAGCAACAGAGTGCCCATAGCAATGCTGAAGCTGAAGCGGCGCTCAGAAGAAAAACACGAAGTGCGGGTGAGTTTAAAAAGACTTGTTCTGAAAAGTTACAATTGTTATGTTTTATTTTTGTTTCTACTCTGTTTGAATCTTAGAGCAGGAAAGTGCTGTCCTACGGACATAAGGAGTAGGAACGCGCCATTCCGCTTATGAAACTAAAGTGAAGCCAAATTTTTGGCAGGTGTTTGGCACCAAGATACAGGTAAAGCATTGAATTGCCATAAGTGCCATTTTCTTGATGCCTAAATACCTGGAAAAAAACGGCTTCATTTTCCAAATCCAGGTTACTACTCCTCTTTACCTTTACCTGCTCTAAGGTTTGAATGTTCTAACAACATATTTTAGTTATCTGTTACATTTTTGGGGAAAATGTCGAATTGATCACTTTACTAAGGACACATGGTCTAATTTTTAAATATAATTTCTTCCTTTTTTGATAAAAACACTGATTTTACTTTTCACTAGTTGAGGTCTCAAGTCTCAACTGTTAACAGCATCAAGACTCTATGTTTCTTCTCTAATGTTTCAGTTACTTCAATTAATTATTAGATGGAAGAAACATTTATCTTCAGCTTCCCTGCATTATTATTTATAATTAAATAGGTATAGTCTGGCAAGTGGTAACATGGTAGAGACGAAAGGGGGATCCACTGACACCGCCTGATGACAACCATGTCTTTGGGTTCAGTGGCACCAAAAACACTAAGGAAATAAACCAATATAGTTATTTTTGTCACCAGTACCTATTAGCCGAGTCTGGAATAGCAGATGAGTCCTGAAAAACTTCTTTAGGTACATGTGACAAACACTATTTTTTGTCATACGCTTTTCAGAATTCTTTAGAACGCTAAAATTTGCAAAATTTCCTTAATTTTTGAAATCATAAAGGTGCATCCAGAAAGAAAAAAAAATCTAATAAATAAATTTGACCTTTCTGTTCAATACTTATTATCATTGGCCCAACTTGATCCTATGACTAGTTTTTGAGATACAGGTAGCTTACGGCAAGTTCCATAAATATGACGTTAGGTCGGCTTTAAGAAAAGAACACTTTTCGTTAAAGTATACTTTAAGCATCCCTTAAAGTTAGTTGGGTTCCATAAAATATTTTAAATCGTCTGTTACAAAAAGGAGAAAATATGTAACTGTCTAGTTAGATATAAATTAAGTTAAAATACATTTTCCAAGAAAATTTAACGAGTTAAATTGCCACAATCTACTATACCGCCATTCTGTGGAGATATTTCTCAATGGACCTCATTTTCTGAACTTTTTGCTGCTCTTATAAAAAATGATAACACTCTTGCCGACATCAAAAAATGTATGTACATATTTAAATAGTATATCAAAATTCAAGTTGCAGAAGGCCACATACTCTTGCGAAGAAGGAGCAAGTGGACGGACAATGAGTGCGAGAATAGCCTTCTGCAACATGAGTTTTATACTATTTTCTTAAATTTGATTTAGTTTTTCATTATTTTAAATTTTTTTGTGGTCGCTGTTAGTTGGGGATTTTTTTTTTCTTGCAAAATATGTCAGTTGGTGACACTTTCTTACCAACCAACTGACAGGTGGATTCTATCATTTTAGAAAGTTTGACAATCTTGATTCTTGAAGGTACCCACATATGTATACTTTGAAAACTAAATTTCACTAAATATCGTTGAAGAATGTGCTTGATTCTTCAAGGATTTCGCATGCAAGAATAATGTAATTCTCACTTCAAAATCGAGAAGACTTATCTAAAGGGTGAACCACTCGAACTCATCGAATCCCTTGAACTTACAAATGGTAATTTCACTATAGCCTTAGATATTTTAAAAGACAGATACGAAAATAAAGTATCTATAATAAATAATCGTTTGAATGTAATTTTAGATCTTCCTAACATGACAGAATGTACATTCCAAACACTGCGTGAATTTATTACTAATGTTAAAAGAAACATAGAGGCTTTGAAGGTAATTAAATGCCCTGTTGACAGTTGGGACTTACTCTTAGTGAATGTCTTATTGAGAAAGTTAGATTATGGTTCAAAACGCGCATATGAGGAAGAGAGAGATCGAGGTGTTCTCCCTGCTCTCGATGAATTGCTAGACATTTTGAATAAACGTTACAATGTTGCATAAACTTGAGCAAAAACATTATGTGAAACCCTAAAATAAAACATCTTTGCTTGCAAGAGTTCCCTTTAACTCCACCAATAGAGTTAATACTGGCTCAGAAAATTTTCCCAAAGGTAGTTTAAACTGTCTATACTGCAGTGGTACAAATCACCGGATTTATAGTTGCATAAGCTTTTAGAAGCTAAACCCCTCCGAGTAATTTTGTTTCCTCTGAAAATCTCTGCTTTAACTGTTTAGGCAACAAACATAAAGCACTCGAATGCACTTTTCAAGGATGTAGTCACTGCTCCAAAAGATATCACTCTCTTCTACAGAAACCCCAAAGTTACCAGAATACCCCAAATGATAACTCAAACAACCTGCAAAGTAATTCACAAAATAGAAATGATATTGCCCCACGCTTTTCACATTATAGTAACCAAGGAAATCACCAAAATGGCCCAGTCCCATTGACACACGCATAGCGGTTCAATACCCCAGACACTTGAATCATCTAACGATTCTCAGGTTAGATTGAATCCTAACTATCATGATACTCTATCTTTATCAGTTATGTCCCCAAAAATCTCTTATGTGCCCATCAGGCCACAGCAATGGTTACATTATACTTAAGGAATGGACAAGCGGTCCAAGCTAGAATTTTGTTTGATTCTGGAAGTCAAAGCTCTTTTATCACTGATAAACTTGCAAAAAGGTTGCAAAGTAGAACTTATAAAATTAATCTCAACACTTTAGGAATAGCTCAAGGCATAACTATGTCCAATGAAATGACAGATCTTATCATCCCCTCTAAAATTAGCTGTACAAAAAGTTTTGAAATTTCATGTGCTATATTGAACAACATTACGTGCAAACTCCCTCAAGTCCCTATAAATGCTGATTCCTTAGAAATCGCTGTAGGAATTGATCTTACGGATCCCTATGTTTTCAACCCCAATGATATTGACATTCTTATCGATGCAAGTACTTACTCTGGCATGCTTTGTGAAGGTTTTATTCGACTTGGAAATAATCTACCCATTTTGCAAAATGCCCATTTCGGTTGGATTCTTATGGGTAACGTTCCACCATTGAACGCTACCTATTCAAACTCTCGCTCGAACTCTAACTTGAACCCCAACCACAGATTTTTGCAGAATATTTTCTGGAGAGAAAATCTTAATGAGCCCTTGAAATGTATTCAGTTGAATACAGTCCCTTATGGTAGGAACTGTGCTTCATATCTCGCATATCGCACTCTAAATGAAATTGCCTTATCTAATAAAATAGATTATCCATTAGCGTCCAATGCTCTTTTATTTCAATTTTATATGGATGATATTCTCTGCTTTTGTAACAATCTTGATGTCTTGCACAATACTTATTATGAGTTGAATACTCTATTGAATAGGTCACAAATGAGTTTGCACAAATGGTCTTCCAACTCTCAAATATTCTTGGCTAAGTTCTGTAATAATTCTTACATACCACTATTATAGTGGTATCACTTAAAATATACAACCTATATATGAATTTTGCTTAAAATTACTAACCCTACAATTCTATCCATGTTATCTGACTGAGAAAATAAGTACCGAAAATCTTCACTGACTCCTAGACTATACAGGGTGTCCCACGGTGGATGGCGTATTAGACGTTTATGGAGAACTAAAAAGCGGATCATTTTGAAAATTTGGCAACCAGGATAAACGACCATAATCTACACTTTAAAAATATTTCTGTTTATACGGTGTTGCCGCTTCTACTCTAAACCAGTGGCAACATCGCTATTTTAAATAGAACACCCTGTATGTGATTGCATATTTGGATTCTACATAAAATTCTGAGCAGATTTCATGTGATATACCCTATACCTAAGTCTAACTGTTTTGGAAATATTGATAGTTGAAAATTGACTTTCTGCAACTTTGACAGGCTGTATAACCTAAACGGTTAATTTTGGAGGAAAACCGATTTTACCGAGGATTTTACATTCCTATCTTAGATTTTTATAAACTATCATTTGACACCAAAGGACCCCGCAATATTTAAATGGAAATTGGTTACCCGTGATATTTGGATAAAATTTAAATATGTTATTGGGGATGCTGTAAGCAACATTTTTTACCATGGGCACAATCCTGTATATATGACAGGTGAGGCGTGGTTAGCTGTCAAATATTGGAATCTTATATCCAAAAGCAGAGTAACTATGGCAGATTTTGATGAACAAAAAATCTATTTCTACTAAGTCGACCAAGTTAAGTCGAAAAATGTCAACCATTTTAACACCTGTCAAAACCCTGCCAAACGGCAGCACTCATCTTTTCCAGTTTTCAATATTTTATGTTGTCATTTGACATTTTTAACTTATATGTAAATTCTAAATTCAAAAATTGAAAAAAAAAATTACAGAACTGTCAAAACCTGTCATTTGTTTTAGTAGAAAAAAATACTCTAATCTGGTCCTTTCTCGTTTTAACGTAGTTTATTGGTGATAAAACATTGAACAAAGTTCATGCACGTCACATTTTGACAGTTGTCTTTTTTTTTCAATTTTTGAATTCAGAATTTACATATAAGTTAAAAATGTCAAATGACAACATAAAATATTGAAAACTGGAAAAGTTGAATGCTGCCGTTTGGCAAGGTTTTGACAGGTGTTAAAACGGTTGACATTTTTCGACTTAACTTGGTCGACTTAGTAAAAATAGATTTTTTGTTCATCAAAATCTGCCATAGTTACTCTGTTTTTGGATATCACCACGCCTCACCTGTCATATATACAGGGTTGTGCCCAAGGTAAAAAATGTTGCTTACGGCATCCCCAATAACATATTTAAATTTCATCCAAATATCACGGGTAACCAATTTCCATTTAAATATTGCGGGGTCCTTTAGATTTAATCCATGATTAAAAATTTCAATTAAATTTAATCTCCGGTTGAATTCAAAGTTAGTGTCAAATGATAGTTTATGAAAATCTAAGATAGGATTGTAAAATCGGTTTTCCTCTAAAATAACCCGTTCAGGTTTTACAGCCTGTCAAAGTTGCAAAAAGTCAATTTTCAACTGTCAATATTTCCAAAACAGTTGAACTTAGGTATAGGGTATATCACATGAAATCTGCTCAGAATTTTACATACAATCCAAATATGCAATTACATACAGGGTGTTCCATTTAAAATAGCGATGTTGCCATTGGTTTAGAGTAGAAGCGGCAACACCGCATAAACAAAAATATTTTTAAAGTGTAGATCATGGTCGTTTATCCTGATTGCCAAATTTTCAAAATGATCCGCTTTTTAGTTTTCCATTAACGTCTAATACGCCATCCATCGTGGGATACCCTGTACAACATATAACTTATAAAAATGCCATAAAAATGATTTTTTTAAATGGAACACCCTGTATAATAATACGGATTTGAAAAGACTATGTATACTTTGCCTATACTTATGAAATTTCATAATCGACAAACTTTCAACGGTTTTAATAGTAATGGGGGAATAATTTTTTGTTACATCACCATGAAAACTTGTTTTATGAAAATGTCATTCTTTCAATAATTGTGATTTGAGTACCTACAATGGTAGAAGAAAATAATTACTCCAATACAAGTTTAATGAATTTATTTAAGTATTATCCATGGACAGTGTGATCAATGATGATTATGGAATTTCATAAATAAACGCTAATAAATCGAAAACATGAAGAGTCAGGTATAGGCAAAGTATACATAGTCTGAAAGCTAGTTTTATCAGCTTTTCGAATCCGTATTATTATACAGGGTATTCCATTGAAAAAATATATTTTTTTTTTTGCATTTTTCGAAGTTACCGACAAAAATTAATTTCTGGACCATCATGTTTACTTGAACTAAGATGTGAGCGAAAGATCAAATGCCTGCAGGCATTTTTCAGGGATAACCCAAATCTCAGCTCAAAATTGTTTTATAGGGGGGAGATATCAAGATTTATTGAAAGTCCTGTTTTCATTAAAAAAAAATTGAAATTAAATTGCTTATTCCCGAAAATGGCGACAGATAGGTATAGAGAAATATTAGGAAAAGTTGCTTATAATTATATGCGGAATTCAAAAATTCAAAAATATACAGGGTGTTCTATTTAAAGTAGCAATGTTGCCGCTGGTTTAGAGTAGAAGCGGCAACACAGCATAGTTAAAAATATTTTTAAAGTGTAGATCCTGGTCGTTTATTCCGATTGCCAAATTTTCAAAATGATTTGTTTTTTAGTTCTCCATAAATGTATAATACACCATACACCGTAGGACACCCTGTATAAGTGTTTTCCGATCTACTGGGTGTCCCCGTTCAACTGGTCAAAAATGCTAGGGTATATAGAGGAACCATAGAGAAGTAGTTTGAGATAGGATGGTCGAGTGTGCGTCGTTTCCAAAATACAGTGTAGTGAAATTTAAACAATCTCTTTTCATATCATCTGAAGGGCTAATGCTAGGCTGTTCAAATTTTCAGAGATTATTGACCCCCCATTTTCTACCTGGAACCACCCAAAAAAAAATCTAAAATAAAATTTAAAAAAAAAAGCAATTTACTCCAATTTTTTTTTTTGGGGTGGTTCCACGTAAAAAATGGGAGTTCATTATACGAATTTTTAAATATCATTCCTACATCAATAATCCCTGAAAATTTGAACAGCCTAGCATTAGCCTCGAGACGATATGAAAGGGTGTTGTTTAAATTTTAACACCCTGTATTTTGGAAACGACGCAATTCCAACCATCAGTGTCCTATCTCAAATTACTTCTCTATGGTTCCTCTATATACCCTAGCATTTTTGACCAGTTGAACGGGGACACCCTGTATAATAATTTAATTTTTATGCCTCAGGATGTAGATATAGATGCTATTAGCAAAGTCTGCAATTTACTTGAACAGATTTTTTTTTTCAGACATGGAAAGCAAACGTAAAAAAGAGGTAAAGTGACACAACGGTTCCGGCTGGCCATTCGAAAAGGCTGGCCACCGTTACTTGCATCAGTTGTTGCCAGCCTACGAGTCGTACTTGCATTGCTCGGCTCCTCCCGAGGACGTTTCTGACTTTTCCAACAGCAGTGACGATTTTCCCGCTTATTCCAGCAGCGAAGAGAGCAGCAGCGGCGGCTCGGGAGCGAGTTTTTCTTGCGTGAGCGTTTCGAGTAGCGACGACGATTGAGTTGCTGGTTTGGTGAGTTGTTCAAAGAAACGAAAGAGGCGATTTTATTTGGTAAATAAACTAGTAAATTTTTATTTTGAAAACGGTTTACGGACCACAAATAATTGTGCAATTTTATTTTTATTGGCTTTTTGTTGACAAAATGACAGCTATAAAACTAATGTGCCTTCGTAACTGAAAAGTATAAGTGTATACTAAATAGTGTTCAAACAAACCAAACAAAAAAAAAATGCCTTTCAAAGACAGCTATCATTTTTTCTCAATATAATTTTTACATAATATCTACCAATTAAATAAGCCCCTTTGATTTAGGCCAGGCTGCAATAAAATGAAATCGGCAAATATATAATAATAATACAAACTGTACGCAGATTGTGATATGCGAAAGCGAGGAAATGCATTGTTAGTCCTAAGCGTGAGGTGCGCACCGAGACGGTCAAATAAATATGTATTTGGATTTTTATATTGACGCACTTTGTAGATAATCGACTTGTCCGTGTGCTCGCTTCACTCGAATTTGTGGCATTTATTGTTATTTGTTGTGATTTTTTTTGTTTAAATTTTTTCAATTGTGATTCCTTTTTCGAATACTTTTTTAATAATTAATTGTGTTTATATTAAATTATAGAGAAATGTGGCCGGTAAGGGCCAGTGATTGTTGTGTATGCAATATGTGACTTTTTATGGTTGAATTTTTTGGTGTTGAGATGATTGGTTTGCCTGGTAAGGTTAGATTTTACAAATTGTACATTTCAAGTTGGCCAGGTTTTGGTTTTTGACATTTTTACATTATATTTGTGTGCAAATTGTCTAATAATGAACATGAAGGTTTTGGTTTTTCATTCACATTAAAAGTTTTGTCAATTTTTGATAAACTTCCTATTTACTGTTTTTTAGTTGACAAAATATTTAAACGTGTCCGAAATTATAGTTTATTTCCTAACAAGTGATCCAGTCGGATCATTTTAGACTCCAGTATAAATGGGAAGGAGTAAAGACAGCCGAAGAAAAAGAAAAAGTGATGCAGAGATGGACATAAAAGAAAAATCTCTTAAATAGGTACCAATGACAATGATGTCAAGTTTTCCGTTGCTTCTTCTGAAAAATTGGAGCTTATAAAGCTTCTGATGATAAGTCTTTGGAGTTCAATTTTTTAGTCGATTCTACAGAAAAACCTGTTAATTGCTTTGTCCGAAGTTACTGGTAATGATTCTTGGATTGATTTCTCTGAAACTTCTAGTAATAATTTGCTCTTTCTATCTATTTAGTTAGAGATTGTTAATAGTTATAGGTTTGACTAACGTTTTCTGATGCTTTTGATATTTTTGATGCTTCTTTCTTTTGAACGATTCCTTAGCCAATGGGACAATTGCTTTTTTAAAGCTTCACATATTGATTCTTGAAGACCTTTTTCTCAAATTGGTTCTTCTGTAGCCTGATTCTTGAAGCTTTTCAAGGTTGGTTGCTTTTTTTTGTGAAGTTTCTGGTATAAATTCTTAATAAAACTTTCATCCTTATATTGCTTCCTAACTTTTGATGATGACTTCTGGTATTGATTTGAAAGACTCTTCTTCCTAAACTGTGTGTTTTTTTAATAATAATAATAATAATAATAATACATAATAATGAACTTCTTTATTCAAGATCATATACAATAATACAATATAGTACATGAAATGATCACAATGTTACAAAATTATTATGGATCTGGGAAAAAATCTCTTAAACATTATGGTTCTAAGTTTACTAACAATTTCTTAATATCCATTTTAAATTTTTTACCTGAATTAAGACTTTGTATTTGGTTAGGGAGCGTATTGAATAATTTGACACACATATAAAGGGGTGATTTTTCCGTTAAAGTAAGTCTATATGGCTTGTACCTAAAAGCCAATGTTCTCGTGTTATCTTTGTCGTCCTTTTTACTATTAAAAAGGTGTTTATTGCGAAAAAAGAACATTAAGCATTCATAAATGTACATTGCATATACTGCCATAACATCCATACATTTTAATACTGATTTACAGCTCTGAAGGTAGTCCATTTTCTTTATTATTCTCATTAGTCTTTTCTGGACAACAAAGATATTTTGCAACCTGCTGTCCCTTTTCCAGAAAATGATACCATATTTTAGAACAGAATCAAAGTTGGCAGAGTATAATATTTCCAAAGAGCCCTCATTCATATATTTACTAACTATCCTAATACCATAACAAATAGAATTCAGCTTCTGAGCTAACTGTATTATGTGACAAGCCCAATCAAGGCGTTCGTTTATGTAGACACCTAAAAACTTTGCGTTCTCTAAAGCTTTTGCCAATGATTCTTGAAGTTCTTCTTGTTAAATTGATCCTTCTGAGGCTTTTTTTATTTTCTTAAAGAAAGTGACCATTTATTCAGCTAGGGGTAAACTTCCTTGAAAAATGTGTACACCAGAATCCCAGGAAATCTTACTGGAATCCCACAAAATCTTACTGGAATCCCACGATATCCTACTGAAATCCCACCGAAACCTACTCGACTGGGACTCTGTAACGGATAGAGATTGTTATCCCCATCACTATGCCTTGTTATTTTCTTCACTCCTTTCAAATTTCAATAGAGATGGGACGTCAATAAAGATAGAAAAAATATCTCTATACGTTACAGATTCCCAGTGCTAAAATCCAATGAAATTCCTCGAGGAATTCCATGGAATTTAGTGTGAATTTTTAGAATTATTTTGAACGCTACAATAACTGGACAAAAAAGTCTTGTTTAGCTGCCACTACATAGGTACAAATTGAAATCATCGGCTCATCAAGCAAATTAACGAGTCCCACTGGAATTCACGGAATCCCACATAATTCCACTGGAATCCCACTCAATCCTGGAATCTTACAGTATCCTACTCTCGATCCTAGTGGAATTCAATCGAATTTCATGAAATTTCTTGTGAATTTTAGGAAGTATTTTGAATGCTAGTAAGCGAATAGCCTAAGACTCTAGACAAAAAAGTCTTGTATTTCAGTTTAGCCGCCACTATGTAGGTACAAACTAAAAACATCGACTCATCAAGCACATTAAGGAATCCCATTGCAATCCCACTCGAATTCACGGAGTTCCACAGAATTCCACAAAATTCTACTGGAATCCTACGGAATTCTACTGAAATCCCACCCAAACCTACTGGACCAGTATTCTTCAAACCGTCCCCAGCTTTCTCAAGAGAAGGATTGCTCTGTTTTTGTCAGTATTATGGAAATAACAATATGGGCGACTAACACAGAACCTTCATTCTCATGAGAACGCTGCTTCCCTGTTTCGAGAATACGGACCCTGAAATCTTACGGTATCCTACTGGAATCCGATGGAGTTCCATGGAATTTCTTGTGAATTTTTAGAGATCGGTAGCAAGCAAAGACTGTGGACAAAAAAATCTTGTTTTTCAGTTTAGCGGCCACTACGTAGGTACAAATTAAAAACATCGACTCATCAAGCAAATTAAGGAATTCCATTGAAATCCCACTGAAATTCACGGAGTCCCACAGAATCCCACGGAATTCCACTGGAATCCTACTGAAATCCCACGCAAACCTACTGGGCCCGTATTCTCCAAGCCGTAGTATTATGGAAATAACAATATGGGCGACTAACACAGAACCTTCATTCTCATGAGAACGCTGTTTCGAGAATACGGGCCCCGGAATTTTACGCTATCCTACTGGAATCCAATGGAATTCCTCGGAATTTCTTGTGAATTTTTAGAATTATTTTTAACGGTAACAAGCAAAGAATCTGAAGAAAAAAGTCTTAATCAAGTTTAGTCGTCACTACATAGGTACAAACTAAGGAATCCTGTTGGAATTCAACGGAATCCCACACAATTGAATTCCATGGAATTTCTTGTGAATTTTTAGAATTATTTTGAACTGTAGCAGTAGCAAGCAATGACTCTTGTTTTTCACATCGACTCATCAAGCAAACTAAGGAATCCCACTGGAATTCCACGGAATCCCAATAAATCCCACTGAATTCCATTAGAATCCCTCGTGCTTGTACACTATATAAATAAGGTGGTTTACCTCTCGTTAAGAAGTTGAAAATAGCATCAGAAGGTTAGTTTATTTTTTTGAAGTTTCTTCCTTGTAAATTAGGTCTCAGGAAAAAATCCAGTGGGAATCGTGCAGGCTAATGTATCATACTGCCTGAACTCATCCAATTGCCACCTCGTAGGTTTATAATCACAACTTCCTACATATGCAGAAATAATGTAAAATGTCAAAAAACATTTAAAGGTTCATTCACACACATTTTTCGTTTTAAGCCTACATGGTTCTCAGGGTGGGAAATGTGTGTGTAAATGAACATCAATGGTAAAATGGTCTCAGTTTAGATATAAGTGAATTTTTCTGTCGGTTTTGGAGGAATCTATCCGCACTATAAGCGTTTGGTGTAAATTATCGTCGCAAAAATTGACACTAGCAATGCAAGTTCTCTCTTAAAGCAAAAAACCAACTAAAAAAAAATCTATAGGAACCTGTAAATAGTTTAGGCAAATTTGAAATTGTACATAGTTATACATACGATAAAATAATAATAATAATTAAAATTAAAACAAAAAACCTTTAGCATATATGCATAGCAAAACAGAGAAAAGTGTATATTATACTAAAATATTATTGTACATGTGGTATTTTACATACGGAGCTATACTTTGCATAATAATATATTATACCATTTATTATTCGTTCTTAAGTCCTTTTTTTCTCTTTATTATTTCCGTTCAAGTGTGCGTTTTGGGTTAAGGGAAACTGAAAAAAATAATAATTGGTACAAACATTTTATGTACTTTTTGCAATAATTTATTTTTAGGTTCAGTGTCTTTAAGATTTTCTTCTCAAAAAACAATTATCCCCATCATTTTTATTGTAATTTCAAAATTGAAGCAGCCCTTCTAGAATTCATAATTATTATTGGTCAAAAACTCCTATTTTTTTGCATCTTGTACATAAAGTTTTCGTATCATTTATTGTACTCATGCGATTGATTGTACAAAGTTGTTATGACATTAATTGTTTTTTTTTTGTTTAGCTTAGTTATATTGTACTTTATTGTAATTTGTTTATAAAATTATATTTATAATTATTGTTATGAGCTGGATCCAGTCAGATTATCAAAAGAAACGTATTGTGTAAAGAGAGGCAATTGCATTTTTATATTATTATTATTATCATTGACAAAAGTTTAATTTGGTGAGTTGGTTTCGAAAAAAAATAAATAATTGAATCCTTTTTTTTTTATTAAGCATTATGTTATTGTTTATTTGCTTTATACGCAACTTTTTACACACAAATATAATAAGGGATAATCTAGAATCTAGATTATATAGATATATATATTTTTTTTTAAATAAATTATTTTAGCTTTTAATAAAACGACCCCTTATTCTTTTGATAGTAGATGCTTTAATGCTGTGAGATTGGGTTGGCTCATAAAAATCAGTTTCCTCTTAACTTGAAACGCAATTTGATTTTGTAATGTTCTTAATTGTAGATTGTGGAAAGGTTGATTATAAAATATACATTGTTAAATAGAAATACCTTGACATTTATTTTTATTTTAGTTTTATTTTTATACCCCAAACGAAAGTGTTTAGTTTTTCATGTTTGATCAACAATAACACAAAAAATCCAATCTTAAAGGAGAAACCTACTGCCGGTTTTCCACCAAACGGACTGTTGAGTTTGTCTTTTGAAACATGAGTTAACTATCTCGATAGGCCAACTTCGTTTTCAAAAAACATTTATTTAAGTTTAATTCAAAAGCACTTAAAAATACTGACTAACTATAATAATGCAATTCTAATTATTTTATACGATTAATTATGTAGGGTCTGCATGTCGACTCAGCTTGTTTAGCTGTTTGGTGGTGACATAACTCGTGCTTTAAAACTCGAAATTAAATCGAAAAACAAAACTCCAATTGTCGCAAAACACGCTTAGAAATGTTTGGGAAAAGTTTCAGTTTGGGTTTTGTTTTTGTTTTGTCTATTTGGTGGAAAACCAGCATAAGAGTTTTTAATAATTTTCTGAATAAATCGACAAGTTCCGTATCTAATCAATGAGCTAAAAATATCGACACTCGAACCAATATTTACCTTGGCGAATTTATCAATATTTATGCGTAACTCGTAAAAAAAAACCCATATTACTGTATTTTCAGGTGCTAATATGCGCCCTGTATAAGTGCGCAAATTGAAAAGAAAATTCATTTGAATATAGTTTTTACAGGGAAAACACCATTTTTGTATACATATTTGGTCTTACTAAGGTAAGTTTTTGAATTATTTGCTCAAATATAGTTTTTGCTTACTCAGTTCTATACAATTTGGAGTCGATATAAGAGCACAAATTTATTTCATTCTCGAGGACAAAGTACAATTTATATCTTTTTGAATGCCTAATTTTAATATTGAATTATGTAATGGAAAAAAAAGGGTCTTTTATTTCAACTTGATGAAATTATGGAAACCATTTCAAATTATTTACTTAAACCGCATCAGTTTTGTTTATGCAATAATGATTCATTTTAACTAGAAATAGCAAATATTTTGCTTGCATACAAGATTAAAGTCACGTACTCTGCTACTATTTTCAGGAAAATGCTGTTTGACCACAAAAATTTCCTATTAAAAACAATTTTTATTACCATCGTTTGAGTTAGGTGAAAAATAATAAATTCGCATTTAGTATATTATTGTGATTTTGATCTGTAGAATGTCGGAAGTAACCGGAAAGTTACCCAGACCCAATCTGAGACATCTTCTGCATGGTTCTATTAAGAAAAACTTGATAACCGTAGGATGTACGATAGCTGTTGCTGCAGTCGTAATGAAATTCTGGCACAATGATGGCAGGAAGAGGAAATATGCTGAATTTTATAAGTGAGTAAAATTTATTTTGTTCAAATGTGTAAATTCGCATTAGAGAAGTTGAAAATCTTTTAAAAGCGAGTATTTTAATACGTGGAAGAATTTGAAAGACTTTTAATGTTTGAAGGCTTCTAGGACTAAATATCCTAAAAATCTAAAGACTCTAAGGACTCATGACTTAAGACTAGAAACTCCAATTCATATTGTTACGGCTCTGGGGTGCTTTACAGAAATCTTGACTTCGTTTATTCCAAAATCTGAGTCCAATTAACACAACAATAATAATTTATTCCACGTTGCTACACACTCTTAACACTAATTAACTCAAACAACTTGAGTCTTTACAACTCTCAACAATAGAGTACGGGAGCTGGCGACACTTTTCATTGTCCCATTTCATAAAACTTGATTTATCTTTTATTTTGTGGTATTGATATCAATGATCAAGAAAATGAACTCCTGCCACCTGCCACCTTGTTAGCGGGACAACGGTTGACTGCGGTATGCCAAACATGTTGAAAAAAAGAGTCCAAATGTTTAAAATAATAAAAGTTGAAACTTTACCAATTTGCTAATGACATTTAAATAAGACATAAAACGACCTCCTGCCACTTTTTCGGTAGACCTATATACTCCTGCCATAATTTTATTTACGTAAAAAAAAGTTATTAATAAATTAATAAAAATAAAAGTTGAAATTTTTTCTAGCATTTCATTAATAATTACGATAACTGAAAAATGTATCCTGCCAGTCATTTGATGGGACCTGGCTTCGGCAGGAGTTAGTGAAGTAATAGGGTGTTGACATAATTACAGAAACAAATTTGTTTCAACACGTTAGATTCTTTTTTATTTATTTAAGCGCAAAAAATATGTAATATCGAAAAGTTTACAGACACGTATCTTCGTCAATATATTCGTAGACAGTTTCCATAAAAGTGGATAAATCTTTGGTCAGTTCATTGATCACATCACCGAACGAACTGATCTAGAACTGAACATCAGCACATCAGTCATTCATATGGAATCTTAAAATGCCCAAACATCTGCCTCACATCAAGTTTTTATTGTGTATAAAAGACTTCCAGGTAAGACCCTTTTTCAAGGTGCTCATTTGCTCTATGTATGTGATCACTTAATATCTACCGCATTGAGAACCTTTGGATTTGGAATTTGGAAGCCTATAGAAATAGTGGATATACAGTGTGTCCAAGATAAGTGTAATGTTTGATCTTTGTTATGCATAAATAAAACACCAAAGCACATATGACTTATTCCTTTATTCACTCGTCTTACAATGAATCACAAAAGCAACCCTCACCAATCCTACCCGACAATGATAACAAAAACGTATAAATTCCAAGTCTTAGTCAGCAGCGTCACGATAGAATAAACAATTGCCAAAATATACAAAACGATGTTATTATGTAATTCTTATACACTACATCTCTTTCTTTTTATAATAATTTTAGAACCTTGTTAACATATACAAATGGTAAAGACTTAACAGCTAAACTAGAATTAGGTACCTAACTTATTTTACAAGAACAAAACATAACAAACTTAAATGCTATAAGTACATTCTTAAGTCTATAACATTCCTTATAACTACCTATGCAATGATTACCTATAAAGTTATAACATCCAGCAATAATAATTATAATAATATTATGTAAGTATATACATGAATAATTTGTCTAGAATTTTTTACCAATAGTTGATTACAGAGAGTTATTGGATGTTTAATGGGGCATTATCAGAATTATCGTCAGTAGTGTTACCGTTCGCTATTTTCCACTGATCTCCGATTTTCTTTAAATGTATTACATTACGCCTATATTCTTGACCAGTATTATTGTCTCTAATTTGTATGTCACTATTTTTTTTCGAGATAACTTCATGTGGTGTAGGATCAAATGTTGGAGTTATTTTATTATTTTTAACCAGGTTTTTTACGTATACTTTATCACCAATTTGTAAATCATTTTCTTTAGCCATTCTTTTCCTGTCACCATACTGCTTCCCCTTTTCTTTTTCCATTTTATCTTTGTCTCTAACATCATCATCAGTAGGTTTTTGGTTGGATATTTCTATACTAGGTATTTTGTCCCGAAATTGTCTTCGGAAAAATAAATCAGATGGTGTTTTACTCGTGGTTGAATGCGGTGTGCTATTGTACATGATTAAATAATCTATCAGGTCTTGCTTCCAATCTGAATGTGTAGCTTGACTTATTTTTAACCTCTTTAAAATGTCTTTGTTTTGCCTCTCAACTTCTCCATTCTGCTGAGGCCAGTACGGAATAGAATGGAGTAAGCTGATTCCTCTTTCTAAACAGTATTTTTTCAATTCTTCTGATCTGAATTGCCTCCCATTATCAGCAGTTATTGAGGCTGGATAACCCAGTCTTGAAAATATTTCTTCCAAAATTTTAATGGTATTTATTGTTGTTATATTTCGCATTATTTTAACTTCTTTGTATCTGCTGTAGTAATCGACCATCACGAATAGATAATCCCCACTCGGTAAAGGGCCCATAAAATCGATGGCAACATCAACCCAGGGTGCTGCTGGAAGCTCTCTTCTTTTCATGGGTTCTGGAAAATTTGAAGCCGATACTAAGGTACAACCATTGCAGGTTTTTACCAACTTTTCAGCGTCGTAGTCGATTTTTGGCCACCAAACTTTAGATCTCAACCTTTGTTTCATCGCGACAACTCCCGGGTGACCTTCGTGCGCAGCTCGTAATACCAATGGTCTCAGCTTTGTCGGAATAACTATTTTGCTACCTCTTAATAAAATATTATTATAAAAACACAATTCCGGTTGGAAAATTTTATAACTTGACACATTAGGATGCCAAATGTTTTGATAAATGCCCTCCTTAACTTTCAGAATTTCATCATCGACCGACGATGATTCATTTATCTCAGATAATGTTAATGCTCTAGGCCTAGCATATTCAATTATTTGATGGACATATTTTTCATCGCTAAACGAAGTGCATGGTTGAGAGATACAAAGTCTGGAAAGAGGGTCGGCGATATTGTTTTTTCCTGGCTTATAGACTACTCTAAAGTCGAAGGATTGCAATCTAAGCACCTAGCGCTCAATCCGGGCACAAGGTTTTGATTTTTTCCCGAAAATTATTTCCAAAGGTTTATGGTCTGTGATGAGGTCAAATCTTTTCCCATACAGGTATATTCTAAAGTGCTCAACTGACCATACCAAGGCTAGAGCCTCTTTCTCGGTTTGGCAATAGCGCTTCTCACAATCCGTGAGACTTTTATTCCCATAAGCGATTATACGTGGTCCAGACCCATTATACTGTAGTAAAATTGCACCTAGTCCCACAGGACTGGCATCTGCTACTACTTGCGTCTTATCCTTTGGATCGTAATAGCCCAAGGTTTTTATATTGAGTAAACTGTCTTTTAATTTTATAAATGCATTATTTTGTTCGTGCTTCCAAAACTTTTCGATGTTACCGTGTTTACCCAGCTTTAAACGCAGTAGCTTCCTTATCGGATCTGTTAAAGTTGCCAGATTTGCTATCCACTTACCTACAAAGTTTAAAAGCCCCAAAAAACTTTGAATTTCATCGATGGTTTTTGGTGCACGAAAATTTTGTATTACTTTTACATGGGCCTCTAGGGGTTTAACACCGTTTGTTGACAATT